TGAAAAAAAAGAACTGGGTGTGTTCATATCACCCCAGTATGATGGTCTATACACTATACCAACACACAGATCTGTCCAAACAGCTTGAAAAGTAGATTTTTTACCATAGGTGCCCTTTAAAATATATAAAGAAATAAAAAAAAGGCATCATCTGTAAATCACACAAAGCTATCATTTGACTTTTTGCATTTTGATTTCATGGATCTGTCAACTAAATACAAAGTGAATTCTAGGAGAATTTTGTGCAGTTGCAAATGAAATTCTAAGTAATATAAAAATAATGAACCACAACATTCAGAATATGAGAACATCGCCGAACAAGAGTTAGGTCTTGCCTCAAACTGTGAATCCTTCAATGCTTCTAAAAGTTTAGTTGGAGGTCGGCATACATTGCCCTCTCTTTTCAGACTTAAATTTAAAATACAGTTTTTTCGTGTTTTTTCATGAGAGGAATGCATTTCGCAAATGGCTTTTTGTGTCAATTTGTGTGTGGTAATGATGAGCATTACTACACTGTAAAAACATTTCATGACAAAAAGTCAAGACAACAAATATTTTTATGTTGCTCTAATTTATTTAAATAGGTAAATCAGGTTTCAACTATTTTTTTAAGTTATACAAATATATTTTTTGTAAGTTACACAAAGTTTAGGATGCTTTGTTTGATGTAAATTAAGATTAATAAGAGTTGAGCTTAAAGTTGAGATGAAAAGTTCATTTGATTCATCTAAAAAATGCAAGGCAGCAAAAAATGTTACAGAGTAGTTTTAATAGAGAAATGGATGCCTCGTTTGTTAAAGTCTGCATCTTTACTTAATTATTAAATGAAGAAATGACATTAAAATTTATAGTAATCCCTTTGGTAATTTAAAATAAATTTTATGATGTAACTGTAATTTGATTATCACTTTATTAAAATGCAATTATAGTGAAATACAGTTACCTAAATTATGTATGTTTAATGAATAACACTGTTATATGTATTTCATTATTCCTCAGCCCTGGTTTTCAGTCACCTCTTATGATTTCTTATGATTTTACAAATAAATATATTTAGCCATTTAAATTTTTAGTATCATTCAAAGTGTCTCTGTATCATTTTGAACACCATGTTATATGGATATGTTTTTTTAATCATGTATTCTTTACATGTTTTATGCATGTGTGTATGTCAGTGTCTATTCCGAATTTCATTGTTCAGAGCAAAACGTGATAAGGATATGAATTTTTCTCATTTACTGTCTGTATTGCACCTCTATATACCCTGTCCTCTGAAAGACATCCGTACTTGATCGCACAAGTGAATAGATTGGGTGCACCTTCAGCTCGCAAATGCAGAAAACTCTATTTAACGCAGCATTTGCATTTTGATGGTTGTCTAAATGTAGGCTGCAGACAGTTTTCATCAGTATGCGGTTGTTAAACTATTCGCCCACCGTTCTACACCACGACTCCTTTCACACAGCAAATAGGACTTTGTTCAGCTCTGCTCATTTTCGCACACACAGAGAGTAGATTGATTAGAGATGTTCAGTTCAAGGTCATTTCATGTTTAATTAATTATTAAAGTCAGTGTTTGCTGTGCTTGCTAGAAAGAAAGATGTGTGTTTTATGTGAGGGATGTACTGTAGGTTGCAGTTACTGCATTTTTGCTTTAAAAGTACTGATTGAGAATAATACATAGAGGAATGTTTTTGATCTTTTGATGCTATTTAGTTTAGCTTAATTGTATCTCTATCAAAAGCTTCTTAAAAAAACCATCATTCGTAGATCATTTTGAAATGTCACTTTAGTTTACTCGAACTCAAGTGAGAGCTTTGTAAAGATTGTCAAAAAAAAGTCTTGGGTCCCTATCATACACATGGCGCAATAAGACGCAAGACGTGTTTGGTGCAATTTGTTGCTATTTTCCGACCAACTCCACACTAATTTTCACATTTTGTGCCGCGTTGTTTAAATAGCAAATCCATTTGTACCACTTTGTTGACTCATGGGTGTGCCGGTCTAAAAATAGGTGTTTAATGGCTCATTGTTGGTGAGTTGCTATTTTGAGAAACTGAAATCAACTGCGATATTGACCAACTAAAAGTTGGTTTAAAGTCGATCACATCGTGCGTGCGTTCGTTATGCGTCTATGCAGGATCAAATGCTTACACATTGCTAGTTACATGCAGGATGTACAGCAATACACAAATATCTTAACAAATGAACAAAAATAAAACATTAAAATGTTACAAAAAATTTTTCTTAAATAAATATAAAAACCACTGCCTCAATGCCTCATGTCGGGGGGCTTTTTCAGTTTATTCATTACAATTTGCATTTGTATAATGTTATTATTATCAGTATTATTTATTATATGCATATTTATATTTGTTTTAATAAAAACAATTTTAGATTTGTCCACCTGTCGAGTTTTGGTAGACGTATGGAGACGTATGGGGCATAAGAATAGGATCTTTTTTTGGATATAACCCAGTTTTCTTATTACACTTTGTTATTATTGTTCATTTATTCGTTAGCTAGAAATAAACAAACTAAATTAAATGTGTAGGCTAATGGATGTCTTCATTGGCGTGAGTTTCCACCGTTTCCTTATCCACAAAAATAAAGGAATAAAGTAAAGATTTAAAGTAAAATAAAGAGGAAGCTCATTCTGTATCCTCAAGCTGCAGATGGTCTGTTTAACATTTTTTTCGAATTAAGTTGTGCCCACTGAACATTTTTTTTGTCTGCAGAACTGGAATGCCTGAAGTTAAGGGAACAAAAAACTCATAATCCCTTTTTCCTTTAGTTTTTTTTGTGTGTGCTCAACTTTTGAAAACATTAGTTGCACTGGCCTAAAATGTATGAAGTTGAATTAACAAAAAACTCTTAGAAATAAGTACTAAGAAATAATATATTATCAGAAAAAACAAACAGTTTAAATAAAAGAAAAAAAACTAAAACAGAAACAAATGTTAACAAAACATTCATTAGACAGGATTAGAAACAGGCCTGAAGGCAAAACAACAATAACAAAAAAACAAGACACTGATCAAAACAAGGCAGAACATACAGGGAAAAACGCTTTGTAAAGCTTCACATGAAAAAACAAGACTCAGCAAAGAGTGTATGAATGAGGCATCTTTATAGTCCTAGTAATCAGTCTGTCAGGAGCTTCCAGCTATGTGTGTGTAATCAGAAACTGGTTCCTCCATTTGGATTATAGTTTGAGCAATTGATTTGCCATTTCATTATTACATTTTATTTTACTGAGTTGTAAATATCAGAAACATGTGATTTCTCATTTGAGAATGCAGTTTGATTTATTTTTTAATCAGTTGAGCATTTGATTAATCATTTGCTTAGTTGTTTTGAAAGTTCGATAATTTATAAGTTTATACACACACACACAGTTAAATACAAACAAACAGTCCACATGCGGTAAGCATTTCCTTTTGTAGAGCGAACAATGTAAATGTGAGATAAAAATATTTTTTTATGTTACAGCTTTATTTCAAAATGCATCAATTTCCTAAAAATTTTACACACATTACCCCATAATGACAATGTAAATAAAGATTTTTTTAAATTGTTGCAAATTGATAAAATAAAATAAAAAAAACTGAAAAATTACATGTACATAGGTATTCACAGGCTTTGCTCAATATTTTGTTGATGCACCTTTTCAATAGGATCTTTTTCAATAGGATGCCTCAAGTTTGGCACACCTGTCTTTGGGAATTTTTGCCCATTCCTCTTTGCAGTTCCTCTCAAGCTCTATCAGGTTGGATGGGAAGCGATGATGTACAGTCGTTTTCAGATCTCTCCAGAGATGTTCAATAGGATTTAGGTCTGGTCTCTGGCTGGACCACTCAAGGGCATTTACAGAGTTGTTGTGAAGCCACTACATTGAAATTTAATTTATATTGGAATAAGGCTGTAACATAAAAAATTGGAATAAGTGAAGCGCTATGTATACTTTCCGGATGCAATGTACAAAAATGAATATTAATTTCAAATTTCGTTATTTTGTTTGTTTGTTGTTGTTAATAATAATTATGGCATTAATGTTATTATTGGTGTTACTAATATTTTTTGTTGATGTTGTTAGGGTTAGAAATACTGCAACCTTTATTTTTTCAAGTGAGGAGGTCTGAGATTAACTCAAACTCAACTTAAAGTAACAAGCTGGCAGAAGCTTTTTTGGGTGGACTTGCAAAGTTTTCATCGTAAAACTTAATCTTTTTAACTTTGATTTAGGTTTGGTAAACGTGTTAAATGTAGTTGTACAGACATTTTTACTCATTTTTGCCAGGCCAATAAAAACAAAACAAGTTATTTCAACTTTTTTCAAACTGGATTTTTTACAGTGAAAGGGGCTTATAATTTGACCTTAAAATAGTTTAAAAATGTAACTGCTTTTTAGCCAAAGGAAACAATCAGATTTTTTCCAAAATAAAAAATATAGGAAATATTGTAAAGACAATTCTTGCTCTGTTAAGCATCATTTGGGAAATATTTGAAAAAGAAAAATTCACTGGATGTGTATTTGTTTGTTACTACTGTATTTATTTGTTTAAATGCTGTAATGAAACGAAGAGACAATTCTTTTATTGGAGTAATAACATTTGTACAGTCTAAATGGGCCGCCATAATAATGCTGAAGTAAAAAACCTACTAACATATGACTCTTGTTGGACGGGGTTAGTGGGATTCACCCAACTATATATTTCCATCTCCTTTAGAACATTCGAGAAGGTCAATCTTTGAAGATTATATTGTTAGCATAATGTGGAGAGATTTGGCTTTTATTGTCCTCGCACTGACACTCCCAACACAGCAGGAACTAAACCCACACTGTTGTCTTGCTTTTCCCGGAATGTGAACTGACACAGGATGTGTTTTGATGCCAGGTGGATTCTGATAGCGCTGTAGATTTATTCAGTGTGGATTTGAGGGGACTTTAGATCTTGCGAATGAGGGAGTTTCACTTGTCACTTCATGTTTGTCCGCAGGGCAGCTGAAGTCCTCTACTCTCTGACCTTGGCCAACATTCAGAAGTACGGGCAGCCCAGTGATTACCCTGCCGGGGAGAATTACAAACTACTGACTGAAGCCAGGCGCAATCTAGGCCTCTTCCAGCATCATGATGCCATCGCGGGTACAGGCAAAGATTGGGTGGTTGTGGACTATGGAACCAGGTAGTTTTATTTTATTTATTTATTTATTTTAGATTTATTTCAAGTGAAAGCTTTAGAAGACATTCTCTTATCCAGTTCAATTACTCCACTTCCCCTGGAACAAACTCGGCCTAAGTCAATATTTATTATCTCTGAAAGTATTTGAAGGTGACCAAAGCTCAAATTGTTCCTAACAGCTTATATGTTACTGTAATATAGAGCACTGTGTCCAATATATGGGATATCAAAATATGATACTGTTAAAAAGTTTGAACATTTTTGAAAGTGCCTTTGTCTATTCGATTGAATGCAGTAATGCAATACATTCATTCATTCATTTTCCTACGATTTAGTTTCTTATTTATCAGGGGTCGCCACAGTGAAATGACCCGCCAAGTATTCCGGCATATGTTTTACACATTGGGTAGCTCTCCAGCTGCAACCCAGTACTGGAAAAACCCATACACTCTCACATACAAACTCATACACTATGGCCAATATAGTTAATTCAATTCATCCATAGCGCATTTCATTGGACTGTGGGGGAAACCAGAGCTCCCGGAGGACAACGGGTGCTCTGAGGATAACACTTACACGGGGAGAACATGCACACTCCACACAAAAATGTCAAATGGCCCAGCCAAGACGCGAATCAGCGACCTTCTTGCTGTGAGGTGACAGTGCTAACCACTGAGCCACCTTGCCACTTGTCACTGATGCAAAAAATGTTATTAATTTAAAAATATGAAGTGACACAATTAATTGTATTTTGCCTTTAGTCTTTCCCCCCAACTTTATTTATAGAATTTTCCAAAAAAAAAAAAGGACAAGGACAACTATTACACATTTTGCAATATTATTGTATCTTTTAACATGTAGAGAGAGAAACAAGGGACCAAAATAATTATGACAAGTATTGAACCCTAGTCTTTTGTCTTTTTAATCATCCTATTTGACACACACACACATATTCTTGAGTGATGAATATTAGTGTCCTTAAAAACCCGTTGTTTTTACTTCACTGTCACTTTAGATCTAAATCTTTGAATAATGGACCCTTTTCACATTTCTGGGTTTTTTCAGCATCAAAGTAGTCATAGTTGGCTAAATGCAGAGAGCAGTGAATGGCCTGCAGTGAATGAGTACCACACATATTTTTTTTTGTATTCCTATTTGCTCATTTATCAAAAGAAAAGCCCCACTATAGTGTTTTCACAACATTCTAAAATAAAGGGGAAAAAAAATTGTAAAGAGAGAGCAATGTCCAGTTTACTGTCCTGCCTAAAGATGCTGCATTAGGGGATTGGGGGGCATGGAGTAGCTCCTCCCCTTTAAAAAACAGCCAGTAGCGCTCTGACAGTGAGAGTGGTTGAACTCAAGTGCATCAAATAAAAAGCAAACGAGAAGCCTCTTGAAGGAGGCGGGGCATGTCAGATACTCGGGCATTTGATTAGTTATGATGTGATAAACTGTAGTGTGGGTTGATGTGAATAAAACCGTTGGTCCATTTGGGTGAAAGTGACTAACCACAAGCTTTACATGTTAATATCAGTTTTATATTTTCTATATGCGAATATTGTCACTTTTTGGGGGGCACACTAGCTTATAGATATCCCAAAAATGAATAATACTGGTATTAACATCTAAAAAACTTAGTTTTAATTACATGAGACCTTTTAAAAAATGTAAATGTTATAAACTTTGCAAGAATTAAGATGCTGATGACCATTAAACACGCCATCCAATTATTACTGATGATTGAGTAATGTAGAACTCATTTGTTTGTTATGAATAGCTTGTTGTGTCCTTTTTTTGTATGTTGTTTTGAATAAAAAGGTCTGCTAAATGTACTACTATAGATGTAAAACCTCAACAGAGCCACAACGTCTCTAAAATATTGCTTTGAATACACTTTATGTTAAACTTATAGATATTATCTTGACATTATGGTAATTTTTTTATTTGTAATAGTTAAAACTATTAACTATCATTTTTGCTGATATAAAATTAATCACTATTGCAATAAATAACTGCTTGTTTTTAGCAGTTTACTTTGCCCTGACCTGTTGACTTTAATCATGCTCATTTTTGTTATTGTTAAGGTTGTTCCATTCTATTCTGAATGTGAAGCGAGTGATTGTGAGCTCAGCACATTGGTTGGTGCTCAAGGACAAACAAACATACCACAACGATCCTTCAAAAGCCTTTCTTCAGATGGTGAGTGTTCACACTGCATATCCACAACATGCTGGCCTCACTCCTAAATATGGAAATTGCCATCTGCTATGTCATATTTGTTGCTGCTTCTGTGTTGTAGGATGATGTTCAGCAATCCCAAGATGCCCTACCTCGCAAAAATGTTCTTGAGGTTCATGGAAAACCAAGGTACCAGTTCTCGTCCCAGCATCATAAACGTTGTGAATTAGAAGTTAAAAGAGAGCTGAATCTTTCAGTTTTGTCTTTTTCAGGTTGTTGGTGGTTTCCAATCCATTAGAACAGGCCAGAACATCCATGGTTACAGTATATGTGAATACTCCAAATGTGCGTGTGGTTAGTGCACTCGGTCAGGTGGTCCGCGCTCAAGTCAGTGCAGTGTGGAAGGATGCCAGCCATGCTACTGCAGATGTTTTTCAGGTGAGATCCCCTATACTTATGCATGATGGAAAAGATCAGTGATTAAGTCCCCCTCAAATTAAAATGTAATTTTTGGGGTGTTATTATCAATATTTTAGTCTTAAATTTTATCTAAAATTAAATCTAAATTATCTTAAAAAGAACAACAATTTGTTTTGATGTCAATCAAATGCTCTCTTGTATCGGATACATTCCACCCATTCAAGATGCTATTACTATATGCACTTGAGCTCAACCACTATAGGTTTTTGTATTATTTTTATTTAGCTCTGCCCTGTCTTCATGTTTTAGCTCAAATTATGTCACACATTGAGTAGAAATGCACATTTCAAAGCACTTCACAGGAACTTTAAGGTTATGTATAAGATACTGTTCTCCAAAACAATAACAAAAATCACATTCAGAATATAGATATAAGCATTTAAAACTAGCAGTATGACAACAACTCAGATAGATTTGCTCTCTGCTATCTACGACAGGCTTAGAGGGTCAAAATATACATATTCCCAGTTAGCATACAGACCTCAAAAAAGTTCAAAATTAAATTTGTCACACACTGTACCAGTACAGTGCGCTATAGATTGGATAAATGATTCAGACAATGTAAATATGATTTTGATTTCACATTATTGTCACTGGAAGTGCCACAGCATGTGGTACAATGAGTGAATCATTTGCACAAGTCTATACAGACTACATATTGGCCCTGTTTAAAAAAAGGCAGGAGCTGCTCGATGTGTCCTGTCTCATCTTCGTGTTTCAGTTGAAATGACCAGTGGTGGAAAGAGTATTGAAAATCATGCTCTTGTAAAAGTACAATTACTTGCCCAAAAATGTAGCTCAAGTAGAGTGAAGGAATCAGTTGTAAATATTAACCAAAGTATGAGTAAAAAGTAGCCCTTTAAAAAATACTCATGAGTAGTGAGTATTGAGTATTACGCTGTGAAAAGCTGGTGCGTTTACATGCAGTTTGTGCAGGGATGTGCTAGCGTAACATTCTGTAGTGCATTTAGTGATTATTTTAGGGCATTTGGCGATTTTAGTCATCATAAAGTAAACATCTGTCATCTTCTCATCACTGAAATTCAGTCTAAACAGTCTCTGGGTCCTTGTGTGTAAAGATTTTGGACATCTTCCTGGACACTATTAATGCTTCCAAATGGTTTGCTGCATTTATAAAGCTCTCATGAGGTTGTTCAGTATGGTGCGATTTACTTTCTTTGTGCAATTTGATTGGATGGAAATAACAGGACCGATTTGTCTACTTTAGCCAATCAACCATAGACAAGAAAAAATAAAGTAGTGACTGCAGGTTGAAGGAAAGTAGTAGAGTAAAAGTACAGATACTGCACTAAAATTGTAGTAAATTACAATTCCTGAGGAAAACTACTCAATTACAGTAATTTTTGTAATATGTTAATTTATACCACTGGAAATGACATCACACATCAAACAAAGCTGTGAATTTCAAGGCACTTCAGTCGACCTTTGTGGTTATTTACACTAGTCCATGTTTGTTTTGTTATTTGAACATTTTTTTATTTTATACATTGTCATACAAGTTGACAAAAGTTTACATTTTTAGTTGGCAAAAAATACAATAAGAATAATGTATAAACTCAATATAACTTCATGCAATTTGAAATAAAGACAAATAAAATAATAGTCAGTAATAATAAAATAATTAAAATAATAAATTATTTAATATAGTAATAATAATATAAATTAATATAATAAAATAAAATTAAATAATAAATTATTTAATATAGTAATAATAGTAAAAAATTTATATAGTAATAAAAAAATATAAGAAAAATAAGCAATAGCATGTTTTTCTAATCTATATTCTTCAAATGTCCATCAGTTCAACAAAAGAGTCACAATCTAGACCAGAGATGACCAAACTAGGGCCCGTGGGCCAAAATTGGCCCATGGTAACTTTTGATTTGGCCCGCCATCCCATCTGAGAAGAGTGGGAGTTCATATTTAACAAAACCCTTTATTTGTTTGTTTTATTGTTAAAATCTAACTGAACTTAAATGATTCAATTAAATGGTGTAAAGTAATCATATTTTTTTTAATGTACATACTGTCACCTGACAATGCAGAGACTTTAGTGAGCAAATCAAGTCAAGGGCAGATTCTGCTTGACCTGTGTGTATTAAATATTGAACTCCACGGTATTATAAATGTGATTTTTTGTGATTGTTTGTTTTATTGCAATATTTTATGTATATCCAATTTACCAAAAAGTTGCATTTTATTTATTTTATTGGAGTGAGTTTATAGTGAGTAACGCTTTATAGTCATATTTTCTATTTATTTTTAAATATTAGTAAATTAAATTAAGAATTTTCCCCTGGCAACTTTAATGTATTATAGTTTTGCTATATTTACTTTCGGCCCACAGCTCTCTATGATATTTGGTTTTTGGCCCTTTATACTAAAAGGTTTGTGCACCCCTCATGCAGACTTTCCAAAAAGTCATAGAATACTTTGCAAATAGACCAAAATATATGAAAGTCCATGTTTGTTAGTTTAAGGTCATGTAAAAGCTCTTTGAATGTGTTTGTTCACTCCACAGTTGTCATTTGTGGCTCATGCTGCTCCTCTGGGTCTGAGCGTGTACCAGCTGATTGAGGTAATGGAGCCCAGGACAGATGCTTCGAAGTACATGTTTCTCCAGGAAGGCAGACAGCTCTCAGACAGTAAACTGGAGCATTTCCGTCAGTTCTATCAAGACGATGGAGCTCCTGTGGTCATTGAAAATCCTCACCTCAGACTTTCCATCTCTGGAGCTACAGGCCTTTTAGAGGTTTGAGCGTGTACTTCTGCTCTTTGGGGTTTGCCGTAAAGTGATACATTTAGGAATACCTCTGTGTAATGTTCAGAAATCATCTCTTTGTTTATAGAAAATGATGTTGAAGGAAGATGAATCTGAGCACCAAATGAAGGTGGAGTTTGTTTGGTATGGAACCACCAGCAGTAAAGACAAGAGTGGCGCCTACCTATTCCTGCCCGACAAAGAAGCAACAGTAAGGATTTTGTTTGAGTAATTTGTTGAACGATCATTTATTCTATATCTTGCCCAGCAGTATTTTTTGAAAAATAAAAGAAACTACATTGGGTTGGATTAGGCCCAGATTCTTTTGTGAGCCCTAGTGTTGGATATTGATGCAGGAAATACATGTGTGAAGTAATAAATAGCAAGACCTTCCATTGAGTATATAAATATGTATGTAGGTAAATAAACAAATACATAAATAGTTTTTATTGCAGTTACTTTTCCGTTAAAAATAAAAACAATATAATAAGAGAGTCCCACTGGGCCATTCCTGTGTGAAGTTTGTATGTTCGACCAGTGTCCATGTGGGTTTCCTCTGGGTGCTCCGTTTTCGCCCACAGTTCAAAAACATGCACTTTAGGTGAATTGGGTAAGCAACATTGGCCTTAGTGTGTGTGTGTGTGTGTGTGTGTGTGTGTGTGTGTGTGTGTGTGCGCGCGCGCGCGTGTGTGAGAATGCGAGTGTCTGGGTGTTTTCCTGTACTGGGTTGCAGCTGTGGCAACCACTGATAAATAAGGGACTAAGCAGAAGGAAAATTAATGAATGAATAATAATGGCAAATTATATATAATAGAATCGCGATTAATTGATGACACATGATATGTTTGTACTGAGAATATTTCTTTATATAAATACACACATGCATATATTTGAGAAAATGTTTATCCATATAAAGGTGTTAAACATGTATAGTAAACACATTTTATAGAAAAATAGATATCAATGCAAAAAAAAATTTATTTTATTTTATGTATGTGTTTGTAGAACATGTATTACGTTGTATTACATCTATATATGACACACGCATATCTTATGTGCAAACAAACTTTTATTTTGGGTGCGATTAATTATGATTAATCTTTGCTCAGCACTAATATACATTCATTAATTTTCCTTTGGTTTAGTCCCTTATTTATCAGGGGTCGCCACAGCGGAATGAATCACCAACTATTCTGGCATATGTTTTATGCTGCAAATGCCCTTCCAGTTGCAACCCAATAATAGGAAACACCCATTGGTTCACATTCACACACACACTCATGCAGTAAGGCCAATTTTGTTTACCCAATTTTCCTATAACCAGACGCCCTAGTTTTACCATGGTATAAAATTATAGATATGCAATATTGGTTGTTGTTTTTGAACATGTGACAAGAAATGTCATTGAAAAGAAAATAACATAGAAGCCATTATCTCATCCATGGTTAAACCAACAACTAATAAAATACCATTGTGAATATTATGAACCCCACCACCACCGTTCTTGTTGAAGGACACTGAATAGACAGAATAAAAACAAATAATACTTCAAAAAACTGTTCTTCTTCTGAAAGAACTTCTTTCCAATGGACAGAATTCCAAAAACTAATATTAACTAAATAAATCGAAATAAAACCCTGCCTGGGGGATCTGGCAGAACAAAAGTATTCTATATAACACTAAAAGATACAGCCCTGCTATTATCATCTGCCGGCCACAAAAAAGACACAAAGTTTGTTTTTTTTGTTTTTGTTTTTTATGTTTGAAACTGACTTGCTGGGGCAGAATGTGGCTGTGTTGATGGTTTGGTGCTTGTGGAGGATTTAGCAGAACAACGCTGTGCTGATTGAGGGGATTGATGCTTGTGGGGGGTTCACAGACAGTATCAGGAGAGGATGCTTTTAGTGCATGTGATAATACATTACATAGAAGGTTGCGCGGTGGCACAGTGAGTACCACTGTCGCCTCACAGCAAGAAGGTTGCTGGTTCAAGCCCCGACTGGGTTCTCCCCATGTTGGCGTGGGTTTCCTCCGGGTGCTCCGGTTTCCCCCACAGTCCAAACACATGCAATACAGGTGAATTGGGTAAGCTAAATTGTCCCTATTGTATGTGTGTGAAAGGGAGTGTATGGATGTTTCCCAGTGCTGGGTAGCAGCTGGAAGGGCAGCCACTGCGTAAAACATATGCTGGATAAATTGGTGGTTCATTCCACTGTGGCAACCCCAGATTGATAAAGGGATTTAGCCGAAAAGAAATGAATGAATGATCATGGATAGAAGATGTTGACAGATGTTTAATATCTGCCTCTGCTGATTTCACTTTTGCACACATTGTACAGTATCACTTTGTTTTTTCTGCAGCTCCACTGACTGTAAAATGCTTCCACACAGAACCTGAAGGTTTTTTTTTCTTTTGACTGGTGGAGGACCAAGAAATGGCTCAGCAGCAGTCTCATTTTTTCATGGTGCCCAAATGTATTTGAGGAGTTTCAAGTTAATAAAAAGTGACTGGAAGCTATGCTAAGGTTAACTAGCCTATAGCATATATCTTGCTGTCTGCAAAAGACAGTAATTTAGACGTACCATATAACTCCCATAAGTGCATACTATTCGACACAACTGCAAAAGCATCGTTTTAACCTTTATAAACAAACGTTAACGTTACTCTGTCAACAGTCTATTGTCTGAATTACCGCGCTAACATAGCTAACGTTGCGTAAACAGAGAGCACCCGATTGCAAACTTCAAAAATGCAGCGTCATGGAATCCTGAACAAACTCTGCTTCAACTCCGCTACAAGTTTATAAACTGCCTTTGTAACCCAATTAAGGTACAAAAATCTATTTAGCAAAAATAGCGATGCAGTGGAGTATTTTTTTCGCTCAGCCGAGCCTTCTGTCTGTTGCTGTGAAGCTTGTTTCAGACACCTCCGCCCCGCCCTCCCACTACTGACTGAGCGCGTCTCTCTCTCTCTCTCTCTCTCTCTCTCTCACTCACTCACGCAGGCATGCACTGTGGTCTCATGAGGAAACGCTGCTTTTTGATATAATGCTTTTCTTGCTCCCGAATACAAATAATTTTTCAAGTATTTGTTCGAATCAAGTATTCGTAAAAACACGCTATTCGTGCCTTTCCGAATACCGTATTCGGGTTCGGCTATATATATATATAAATCTTGTCAAGGCACAATCTAAAATGGTAGGGATGATTAAGCCAAAGTAAGGTTATATAACTCTTATTTTTGAACATGATCTTACTTTCTCTCAGATTTTGTACCTCACTCAGCACATGTGTTAGGGCTTCCCCTACCATAATACACCTAAAACACAGATTGCTGTAAAACTCGTCAATGCCAGGGACTGCAGGAGTTAAACAAAATAATTTGTCATATTTATTTATTTATCATAATACCAGCCACACATGTAAAGCACAAATAATGTCCTTCAATCCAGTCACATCCAGCAGCCGTCATCCATGAGCTCGATCTGTTTGTTCCATTGCTCCGTTTGTTAGATGTTTGCTCACACTTTATTTTGCAGTCTGAAGCACGTCAAACGCACAAAATGCCTAATTCTCGCTACAGGATGTCTAATCGCATCTTTGCTTTCACGTCACATGTAAATCACTCATGCTTTATCCACGTCTGCTTACTGCACAACCCCTCTGCTCCATGCCTTTTCTATACAATTTAATGATTGTGAGGGCGCAGGTGCACATGCACTGTGTGTGTAACGTCTATAAGTCATGTAAAACAGTTTGTTGCAAACTGAAATAAATATAATGTGATTATGTGGTTAAGATTTTTTTGTGATTATTTTGCATTTAAATTAAGAATTTTGCAGAATCAAAATAATTTGAGACTTTTTTTTGGTCTGGATTGAGACCAAATGGCTTGGATCCAGCTGGCTTCTTGCTGTGAGGTGACAGTGCTAATCACTGAGCCACATTAACGATAAACATAAATAATTAATTCCATAATTTACATTTTTGCAGAAGTAGGAGTAGTAGGTCTTTTTAACAACAACAACAAAGCTATTTTTATTATTGTTATTAATAATTTAAATGAATTTGCTCTGTATCTTTTGTACATAAGCAAATAGTAGTGTATGTAGCAATGGTGCCACAGCTGAGAAACAGTGCAGTAAAAACTGGGTTGTTTATCGCCGACTCCTATAAAAACAGTTTATTTGAGGCAGGCTGGCAGTTAATTTGTGGCAAACAAATGATTGCCATGAGAATTTGCTCGGATGCTGAAACTTATAACACCAAATTGTCATTGAGCTGATTGGAGTTATGACTGTAATGGGAATTTAGCCACTGTTCACAGCTTTAACTGTTGTCCACTCCAACACTGGGAAGCTGAAACTCGCTCTTTCATCAGCAAATTAGGCAGTTTTGTCATGCTGTTTCTTTGGTAGCTCTGCTCTGAGGGGATTTTATGAGCGTGATTTGATTCGCATTGATTTTTTTCTCTCTGTCACACAGATTTACTCTCCCTCTCAACCGCCGGTGATTCGAGTCACTAAAGGGACGCTGTTTTCTGAAGTCACTACAACCTTCGCACACATCACACATACACTTCGGCTCTACAACACCCAGGGTAAGAGTGGATTTCTTAACTTTTCTATTTACAGTTTGGAAATCAAATTTACAAAAATTTAATCAAAAATTCACACCAGACATTTGCAAAATGGCATTTTCAACTGCAACTTTTAGGAAGGAAAAACTGTGGCTTTCTAGAATCAAACACTAAAAGTCTAATGCAGCATTACATTTTTTTTGTTTTACCTTCATTAAAATATGACATGTTTTATTTAAGCAGAAAGTAGTGACATCATTCAATTTCACCATGGTGTACAGACCATTTATTCAATGTAACAACAGTTTATTTACAAACAAAATTTAATCAGCAAATTTAACATTTGTCTTAGGAACTTTACAAAGTAGTTAAAAGTTAAAAAGCCTTTATTGACGTAGCTAAAATAATACAAATCAGCACACAATAAAGGCTTTTTACTTGCTTCTGAGTGCTTTGGATTTTACAATAGGTGTTACCTATTTACTAATTAGAAAGTTTTTTACAAAATATTTCAACTATAATACAATTTTTTTTCCAGTGATGAATTGCAGCTGGAAGTTTGTGGTTTATTCCGCTGTGGTGACCCCATGATTAATAAAGGGACTAAGTCAAAAATAAAATGAATGAATAATACTGTTAGGTGTTTAAGTTATTAAGATATTAAATGGATAAAACGCAACAATCAGTGAGTCTCTAATGATGCTGGATGAAAAATGAGGGGACACAACTGCTGGTTTAGTGAAACAAAAAGTAAGTATTTATTAAACAGAGAATGTCAAACAATGAATATAGGAAATTAGATGTAATGTAAATGTCATTTTAAATAACTGAATTAGAAGAAAAACAGGAGTGTTGCCAAAACAATGAAATAATTATAACAAAACGATCTAACTAAACCCCAACCCACTAAACTAACTAACCAAAGAAAAATGCAGAAACAAAACGCCTCTATTAACTAACAAATAAAGATACTATGCTGCTCAAATTACTAGCTCTCGTATAGAACATTCTGTTAGCCATTAGCAAAACAAGATCTCATATAAACCAATTCTCATGAAGATCGTTCAACTTCTCAATAGATACTAAATTGAGCTGCACAAGCTTATCTAATAAATCGATCACTTAATCGAAAGAAAACTAGAACACAGCAACGGCAACTAAACTAAGCAGAACACAAATGAACAGGCCAGCCGACAGTAGTGAAGAGTCTGGCTGTGAGCCGAGCGCTCCTGGAGAACAGCACAATCATGGATTATCGGTAATATCAAGCATAGGCCGTCTGATCTCAGAGAGCTGTCGAGGCACTTTGATGCCACAAATGACAGTCATGTGTTGTCTGCGCAGTGCTGTCTATTTCTAACCGGCATGCACTGATTTAAGACAGAATTCGATCTGTCTGTGCAGCGCTGCATGAAGTCGAACGCACCTATTACAACCTAACAGACTCCTCATCCTTACTATTTCTATTTGTTGTCAAAACTCACAGTTGCAAGTGCATTTTCAGATTTCAATTAAAGATTACAAGGGCAGGCATTTTTTCCTTTAATGACACTGAATTGTTCACCACAAAACTAGCAATGTGAGCTAACAAAATCATATGGCTAGTTTTGATTTCATTTGTACTTTAAGGCCCTTAAAAATGATCAAAAAGTATTGAATGCTATTTTACCTGGTATTTAATTTTGTATATGTTTTGATTATATTTATTTGCTCAAGTTTTCCTGAATTTAATCTGTGAATATTGGAATGCTGTAGTTTATGAAGTTGATAAAATCCTGCCAAATTTGACAGCACTCTGCTTTGTTTACTGTAGTAACCAAGGCATAACTGTGATTCCTGCTGTACTATAAGCGCCACCTGCTGGATTAGCATTTTTGTTCAATATTTGAATAATGGTTTAGTTTAAGATTCCTTTGTTACAATCAGTGTTTAGTAAATATAAGTTAAAATGTATGGAAAAGGGGTTAAAAAGGTCTTAAAAGGTATTGAATTTAACCCCGTGATTCTTGTTTATACCCTGTTGTTACACTCAAATTTATTTTTTTGTTTTTACAAAAAAATATTTAGAACATAGAGTAGACACACTTTATTGTTTTATTTTTTTGAGAAAAACACCAAAACAGGATGTGTCATCTTTGACTCTTACTGATAGTCAGTGGTGGGAACTGGGAGGGCAGCAATTTAACCTCAGGAAACCTCAAGTTAAAAAAAAAGAACTGAATTTCAACATCCATGAAGTACTGCAGGATGATGACCTTATCTAAGTAGTGTTTGTTTGAGAAGTGCTTTAGTCATACTTTAGAAGCCCGATTTTACAAGGATTGTTTTAGCTCTGTTTTTATAATATAAACCTTTTAAGGTACTCAACTGAAGTTTCTCAGGCTATAACGGACAATGTGAACTTTGTAATCAATGGTGCCAAAAGAGACTCTGCAGCGTTACAAAGATTTAATCAGTATCAGACAGAGACGTTTAATTGTGAATGGTTCAACAAAAGTTTAATGGTGTGCTTAAAGAAAGAAATGCGTTCAGAAAGATTTCATTGGTTTCCTTATCAAGAGCACCAGGGGGGTTGGACGGTCTGTTTGTGACCTCTTCTGGGTGGGTGAGATAATGGACATGAGTGTTTTTGAGAGACAGTTGCAGTCACATGAGCCAGTTTCCTGGAGCCCTAGGGATCTTTTCCCCTGTGATGTTTGTTTTTGTCCAAAAAAAAAAAAAAAGAGAGAAAAGATGAGACTAAACCTTGTGGGTTATTCCCTTGAGTTAAAAAGAAATTTGATGCGTAACCTGGATAGAAACTCTTTACTCACATTAAAGTCATACTTAAAGGGTTAGTTCACACAAGTGATCATTCTGATATTAATTACTCGTTCCAATTCTCTTGACACCTTCGTTCATCTTCAGAACACAAATTAGGATATTTTACTTAAAATCCAAGAGCTCTCTGATCCTACATATACAGCAACAGTACCAAGACGTTAAAAGTTTGTTTATCGAAACATTTGACGTGACTTCAATGTATTTAGCACACAGAAGTGTTCTTACGAGCTTTGTGGGATTACACTGAAACTACTTAAAGGTCCTGTGAAATGCTTGAATTTTTATTCAATGTTTGACGTTATCTCAACCAAAACATGAAGAGAGGGTGCGGCATAGAGCAGCTCCTCCCCTTTAAAAAAACAGCCAATAGCGTTTTGTTTTATCACCGCTCTGCCAGTGGTTGAGCTCAGATGCATCAAATGAAAAGCAAATGGGAGGCATCTTAAAGGTGGCAGGGGAAGTCCGATACTAGTAAGCGTTTGACTGGTTATGATGTAATGAGAAACTGTAGTGTGTGGTGACATCAATAAAACCGTTGATCCATTTTGGCGAAAGTGACAAACCACAAGCTTTACATGTTTATATTACTTTTTAAATGTATATAACACTAGTTTTGTCACTGTTTTGGAGCACACTAGCTTTTAGATATCCTAAAAACTAACAATACTGTTACTGTTAATTAGATTTAATATACTGGCTGGGGGTGGCATGTTGGCTCAGTGGTTAGCAATGTCACCTCAGAGCAAGAAGGTCTCTGGTTAGAGTCCCGGCTAGGTCAGTTGGCATTTCTGTGTGGAGTTTGCATGTTCTTACCATGTTGGCGTGGGTTTCCTCCAGTTGCTCTGGTTTCCCCCACAGTCCAAAGACATGCAGCACAGGTGAATTAAATGAACTAAATTGTCTGTAGTGTATGAGTGTGAACGAGTGTGTATGGGTGTTTCCCAGTACTGGGTTGCACCTGGAAGGGCATCCGCTGCATAAAACATATGCTGGATAAGTTGGCGGTTCATTCTGCCGCGGCTACCCCAGATAGTTAAAGGGACTAAGCTTAAGAAAAATGAATGAATGACATTTCTTGGAATAAGTGTTGTAATACTTCATATTTTAAGACATTTTTCTTGACTGAAGCCTAAGGTTTTTTTTTTATTATTATTAAACAAATCTAACCAAGTATAATTATCTTGCTGCACTGGCAGAATATCTGACTAGTTTCTTGTCTGTATCTTCTTAAATCAATCCTTTATCTTATTTACAGTGTATGCTTTTTTGCAGTGTATATGCTGTCCAGCTCTGTTTAAGTATCATTTATCTCTGTAGGACAAACAGACTTGAGTGTGTATGCATACTGTAGGTGTTTGTTCACATTAGTAGCTCTCAGCATGCACAATAGTTTCAGTGTCAGGTTACTCTCTCTCTCGCTATGAGCTAATGAGGACACACTCGTGTTGAAAATACTCCAAGCTGTTTTACTCCACCAAATCCTCGTTTAACCTTGCTTTTTTCATGGACGTGCTGCTATATAGAGCATGTTCTGCTATCTTAAAGCGGTTTTATTTTAATTAAAGGAAATGAAACATATTTGTTTCTTGCATTGTTTTATTCCCAAAGGCTTAATTAGTCTGTTTCCGAATGTACATTTAGCATAAAGGAGTCTTTCGTTATTTTCACTGTACTTGGTAAATCTAATTGCTCATATTTTCATTCGTCCCAAGCCAGGAAAACAATAGAGCGAAAACCGTAAGTGGACGAAAAGAAAAGCAGTCATTTGCTGCTGGCACGTGTTACAATTTGTGGTGTTTTGACAGTTTGTATGCATTTATATGTGTGTTTTATGCAAAGCATGCCAATCAGCCTGAAGATTCATATTGGTCTTTATGGTCTTTAGTGGTCCTTGCTAAATTGCTGAAAATACCCCTAATAAAGTAACCGCTGCACAGAAATAATCAGAACATTGGGTGAACTGTTGAAAGAGAAAGATTGATGTCAGAACGACACTGAGTAAGTATTAAAGGGAACCTATTATGCAAAAATCTCTTTTAAAAGGGGTTTAAACACAGTTGTGTGGCAGCAGTGTGTGAATATAGCCAGCCTTTAATGTTAGAAATAAAAAGAACTTTTCATTGAAGTGAGAAAGTCATGCCTGTAAGTGATGATCTTGCCCTTATTAGCATGGATATCCCTGAGTAAAAAGCAGCCGT